CAGGTGCGCAGATGCGCTGAGCCTGACGGCTTTGTGTTGGTCAACAGGCTGGATGAAGTGCTGACCAGGATGTGCCAGGGCTGGAAGGGAAGAAATGCTCCAGCGAAGCTGGCCGAGCTACGGCAGAGGATTCTCTCGCCGCTGTGTGACTCTTCCTCCTCCTCCACGGCCGCCACCACCGGCACTGGCGATGAGAACTCGCCGCCACCGCGGCTGAGAGTGCTGCACTTCGACCACCACTCCGACTTTATAGGCTCGGCCGGCGGGCAGACCATCGAGTCCGTCCTATCGCTCTTGCTTCCTGGCCAGCCTAGCGGTACGCTCCGTCCGGAAACCAACGCTCGCATACGCACGCACTCATCTTGTATGTGCGGTGGTGCGCTTGTGCGTGTGCGTGCCATGATGACAGACGTGGTCGAGCTCGTGCTCATCTGTGACTACTGCCAGAGCGAAGAGGGACCATCGACTGCGCTGGAAGTGGAGCTCCGCACCGACTCCCAGAAGTGGTCGCGTATGCCGGGCATGGGCGAGTCGCCCACCGGCGTACCGCTCTTTCGCTCTTTCGCCGGCCAATACGAGGGCGACAAGGATGTGCTGATCCGTCTCTGGTCCAGCCTGGGCTTCGATGTGCCGCAAAAGGCCAGAGGTGTCGAGAGCGACAGCTCCCATGGCGCGGAGTGGCGAACGGAGGAGATTGCGGCGGTGCTCCTTGCATGTCTCGGCTCCCAGTTCGAATCCAACCTTGAGGGGATCAGCAACGGCTCTGTCGGGGGCAACCTCCAAGCGTCCAGGTTCATGGGCGAAGGCTCTGCCCGAGCGCGCGATCTGCTCAAGAGGCGACAGCAATCGGTACAGCACGCGTCTTCTACATTGCATGCACGATATTGTTTGTTGAGATTTCTGCAACATATCTGCAACAGGCCGCCTTTCTCGCATCTTGGGAGCATATGCTGGATGACGACGTCCTCCCTTGCCTGGTACATCTCCCCATGTCGCACATGACACTTGAGCGAATTCCTCTCAACGCGACGGGCGGCAGAGCCCGCTGGGGCGAGCACAGCGGTCCGTCGTGTGGGAGCTGGTGGCCCGAACCGTCGAGCGGACGATCGGGCAATTTCGTCTCAGCTCGCGCATTAGCGCCGCCATGCTATACCATCAAGATCGGCTAGACGACGCGTTAGATTGGTCAAGCTCGAGCCGGCTTCTCGCTCAAGCGCCATCCAAGGTCTGATTGACGCATCGATTCTGGAGGGTGTGGACACTGACCTGGCGTCGCTAATTCGTCAGGTGCTGGAAGGCTTGGTTGTTCTTGGCTGCCACTCTGTAGAGGTCTTGTCCGAGCACGTGGGGACCAGCGGCTACACAAGCTCGTGCGTCCGCCTGTTGTGTCGCTTCCCCCTGGAGACCGATCGGCCGATGGCGGCGGAGGCCACGCTACCTAAAGTCAGCAGCGGGCATCTGATCTTCCGCTGCGAGCACAACCGCGGCACGTCCGTGCACGATCTGGAGGGGCTGCTACGCATCACCGTGGAGGCCGTCGGGGAGGAGCTCCAGCGCGCCCTGCTCGACGCCGATCCGAGCGAGGAGCTCCAGCGAGCCCTGCGCGACGCCGATTGGAGCGAGGAGGAAGAGGAGGAGGAGATGGAGGAGGCCATCACCACCACCATGCCAACGACGCACGTGCTGCTCACTGTCGCGGTCGACATTCCTGGCCGGCCTATGGATGCAGAGAACATGAGGGAGGTGGCGACCGAAAAGCTGGCCCTGGTCGGGCGCCTGTTCGGCATGACTGCCCCGCCCACGACGAAGAAGCGGCCACACCACGAGGAGGAGATCGAGTTCGCCAAGGAGGTGGCCCGTCTGCTCCTCTTCGCGTCCAACTTGACCATCTGGGGCCTGAGCGATTGCCTCTCCAAGGTCAGATGCGGCCTGCTGTGTTGAGCGTGCGTGCGTTCGTGCGGTGGGCGAAACTGTTTCAGCAACTGACTTACGGAACAACAAAATGACACTCGCGCCCATTGGAGGGGAGTCAATTTTTAACTTCAACAAGAAAAGGGGAGGAAGCCAAGTGTCTGCCCAGCTCTTCTCTCTTCGTTTGCAGAACGGAGCCAACACAGCACAAGTCTGCAGCCATGGCTGAGCCGACGCCCAACAAGTTTTCGCAGCTCAAGCAATTTTGGCAGAAGGGCAAGAAGGAGGAGGGGGAGGCGACGACCACCGCCGCCGCAACCACCGCAGCGCACCGACAGGTGCCGCCGCAAGCGACTCAGGCCCCAGCGCCGACGGCGACGACCACCACCGCCACCGCCCCGGCGTTCGACCCCTACGGGGCCACTGACGACCTGTCGTTCGTGCCCGAGGATGAAGATGAAGGGGTGAACGTGAAGAAAGTAGAATCGCAATCGGCAGATTCGCTCTACACGATGGACGAGCAGTTCGTGGAGGAGAAGGATGAAGAAGAGACGAAAGTGGAAGAGGAGAAGAAAGATGAGGGGGTGGCGCAAGCGCAAGCTTCATCTCCAGAATCGCTCTACGCGGCATCTGAGACTTTTGTTGACGAAGAGGTTGAAGAAGAGGTCAAGGCCGTCGCGGCTCCAAAGGGGGCTGAAGAGGACGAGGCGGGCGAGAACCGCTATGCATACACGGCAGCAGCAAGTGATGTCGCCTACGCAATGGACGACGAGTTCAACCCTGAAGGAGACGCTGCAGCATCCGCCTCGGCCCCAGCGCCAAGCTACGGAGCCGACTCATCTGCCTTCCAGTACGCCCCCAGCCCTCGATTGTTCTTTTATCGTTATTTATTTATTATTTAATATATTATTGTTATCTATTTAATTCATTAATTTGAGATTAATATATTCATTTTTTTGCTGTTCGATAAAGGGACATCTATGGCATGGCGGACGAGCAGCTCAACAAGGAGGACGATAGCATCTACGCGCGCAAGGAATACAGCGCGACGCCGTATGAGGTGTTCCAGGCGGACAGCCCGAGGTACGTACCCACACAGTCAGGTCTAAGTGACCCTCTCAGGTGCTGAGCCACTGACATCTTCTCTCGTGGTGATGATGGTGACGGCAGCGCCGCGTACTATTCGGGAGCCATTGACGAGGTGCTTGCGGAAGACAACGAGACCAACAGTACGTTCACCGGATTGTGTATGCGCCATGCGGCGGCAAAGCCAAGCAAATTGACAATTGTATGTCTCTGTGTGTCGTGTCGTGTCATGCGACTTTGCGCAGAGTCGCTGTACGGCGAGGACGACGAAGAGATCCGGGTGCCCTCAGCCTACGGCACGGAAGATGTGGAAGGCGTAGCCGACGACGGGTACGTTCTCGACCCGTCATTGCCGGCCGGCGCGTACGACCTAGGTAGGTTCTAAACCTACGCTTTATCGTATGCTCGCGTGCCAACAGAGACAACAAGAAAGAGGAAGCGGAGTCCGACAGCGATGACGACTTCACGGACTCCGAGGATGAGGACGATGTCAAGAAGCCCAGGCGGGACCAGACCAAGAATTGGAACACCGACTTTCAGGTACACACGCTTCCCCCCCACTCGCGTGCGTGGTTGCCATGCTAATGGCCATGTGCCCCTGCGGTTTGGGTCTCCCACCCGTGTGCTTCAGCATCTTCTGGACATGCCGCCCTCGGCCGAGAAGTTCACCAAGCTGGCCCGGCTCGCTCACGACTTCGTGTTTGCGGCCGAGACCTACGGCAAGATCATTATCAGCGAGCTGGGTCTGCCTGGTAAGCTCCCAACCATTACCCCCCCCCTCTCCACACCTGCATAGAGAGAACCAGTGCTGAGTGGTGTCGGTGGTCACCTGCAGTGGAGAAGAAGACCATCAAGCCGGTTGCTGCGGGCGGACAGGCCGGCGGCGAGAAGTACATCGTGCAGGGCATCTTCTTCAAGTTCGCCCTCGACATCTTCGGCATCTACGGCGGTGACGAGTATGCCATGTACGTCTCGGCTTGCCCCATCAAAGCTGCAGGCAGAGAGTGTTCACTCTGGACCGTAACACGTGCAAACGCGTACAGGAAGGCAGCGTCGCATGATTTGAAGGGCCTGATCCACTACTACTCGTGTCAGATCCCCGGGCTCCACGTACCGCTCATGGCCTGTACGTTGACCAGCCCTCCAATTTATACAGCATAGCCTGGATTTGTTGGGAAGTGTGCTGGCTGACTCCGTTTCGTTGTGTGTTTCGTTTCGTTAGTGATCGACTATCTGGGCTTCCGACTGATCGCCATCACCATCCTTCCCATCAACAACACCACCATTCAATACGGCTCGTACGGCCTCCTCGTTCTATTGAGGGGGGGGGAGTGTAACTCGTTGTTCGTACTTACTTGGTCACTCTAGATGCGACGCCGGGCAGACAGTGTATGCGGACGACCCGCGCCTCAACGAGATGATGGAACAGGCCGGCAGGAAGATGAAACTCCAGGTACACGGCGGCCTTTCGAATAGCGCTCTTCTCGATCTCGTCGTTGTACGGGCACTCAACTAGTTATTTGATGGGCAGGGGCACTACGTCGGCGTTCCCGGAGGTATGCGGCGCAAGCTCTACGCCCCCGTGGACATCGAAGGCCACAAGGGTCTCGACGGGCGGTACTACGTGGTGGTACGCGATTTCTTCGCCCTGACCCACCCCTTCAGCCGAGCCAGCATCTCGCTAAGCTCTCGGCTTGACCTGACCTGTACGCCACCTGCAGGACTTTGCCCGAACGTTCCCGCCCGAAAGACCCTCTCCAGCCAAGTACAACGCCATTCCTTGAATCGTAACAACTGTTGGCTATGATAATCCATCCTAATCGTTTCCCTTGTCCACGTTTCTGCGACGCAGCATGAAGCGAAAGGGCATCATCCTGTTTAACCTGCTTCGTCCCGAATTGGTCAAGTCCAACGATGTTCCGCTCACGCCCGGTACGCCGCCAGCTCCGGCTTTGAGAACTCATTCAAGCGGGGTGAGCGCTCACCGCACGCGCTCAC